ATCACCATCCGCTACATCAGCGTTCATTCTCTCTCATGAAAAGACTTTAATTTTTTCCCCTTTAATTTTTATCGGAGTAGTACCATGATTCTGACGTGATTGGTCACTCATCCTACAAACAATATAAGGAGATTCTATATCACCACCTACCCAATTCAATTTTTTTGCTTCTGTGCACAATGCGGAAGGGTTGTTCGTCTTTTAGGCTAGCTTTCTAATGGATGTAATGTAATGTAGATTATAGTTAGCCATGTTTTAAACTATTAATATTTTCATTATTTTATTAAATATTATTATAATTATCCGTGTTCAAATTGTATTAGGATACGTATTGTAGATTATTGTTGGTTTATAATTATATTATTATTTTAACTTGGATAATATATGTTTTAAGCATACTCAATAATTGAATTTTTCAAAAGCTTCCTCATACAAACTGTTGTGGTTCATACTTGAGCTATGCAGACTTGAACCTAAACTGCAAATTTCTCTAAAAAATGTATTTCTTGATATATGCAAATATTATCCGATGACATGAGAATCAAGTTGTCCCTAAAAGTCTAGAAACTCACCAACTCATTTGTCCAATATGATAGCAGAATCGAGCTCTTAAAGATATTATTGTCCAAAATCTCAATGTAAACTTTCATGTTCCTATTTTTAAAATTAATCTTGATTCCAAATTGAACAGTTTGTTCTGCCAATGGTTTTGAGATTGGATTGAAAGAATTGAAGAGCTCGGATTTTTTTATCTTGAGCACGAGTCATTATATTCAGATGCTAATGCTTTCTCTAATATTAGGGGCAATGTATATACCTACTAAAAAGCTATTATAAGATAGTGAAGGAAGAGGAGGACCTCCACCACTTCATCCCCCACGAGTGAGGGAAATTTAAAGTTTAAAATCAAGCCCATGAATTATATTTTTTTAACTATATAAGTGAATAGTTTTCAAGATAAGGGACGATGAAGAAGAGTAACCTCAAAATGTTGATAACAAGGATGAGGTAAATTTTACTACTTGAAAATGGTGCTTCGCACTTTCAAATATTTTATCATCGAATTTTTTTCTTTAGGGTTTAGTGGATTTGATGATGGAGATAATGATGATTTGGGAAAAAGTAAGAGAGGCTTGATGATGGAGAGAAAAACTGAATCTCATAGAATGTTTATGGCTGGGATGAAATAAATTATACTATGGGAAAATTATGTTGCATATAAACTTTCAATTTTCCAATAATTAGATAGTTTAGATGCATTAAATAATTATTTTTGTCGTACTATCATTGATAAAAAATGCATCCGGCCAACGGACTGAGCACAAATCTAGTTTTCAATTAAACTAGTTTATTTGAAAAAAGTATTGAAAAATATTTATGCAGTAACTTAGATACCTGAAAACTAAAACTGAAAATGTTCAAGACTAGACTTATTAAGTGAAAGAGAAAAGGTAAATAAAACGACTCCGCTGGGGATCGAACCCAGAATCTCTGGTTTCGTAGACCAGCGCCTTATCCATTGGGCCACGGAGTCATTTGCTTTCATGATCTGTTCTTACTCTATTTGTATTGTAAGCTGTCCAGGATAACTAAAAGTTAATTCTATTCATTAGCCTTGAACAGCAATTAATAATTTCATCAATGCATGAATAGCATACCATATGGAAATTCGAAGGCAATCCAAGGAACCCTACCTACTTTATAATTTATTTGGTTAAATTCAAGGACAACATATTAATTTGTCATACAATCTTGAATTCAAAGAAATGACATACAAATCTTCTCAAACTAATGCTAACCTATAGAAGTAAAATTGTATAGGGTCTACATACCTTGTATACAAGTCAATAATTAATATTAGGAAATATGAAGTATCAAGATTAACACGAGATATTTCGATCAAAAACTGTATAATACATAGCGGCCAATAACTAATTCATCCCAACAACTCGAATTATAAGAAACTTTCATAAAATAAATTTTATCGTCACACGACCATGTTTGCCCTCACAAACCCTAGCTACAACAATTGGCCACCAAATTGTTAATATCTATCCCACAACGATTGTTCATAGTTAGTATCAGTTGCACTCCGACGAGAGCCTTCTTATCGAGAAAGATAATGAGTAGTATTAATCACCTATTCATTTATTTAAATTTGCAGTAATCGTCAACTGATCACCTACACTTATAAACAATGTTATGTAACTAGTATATATGATTAATGTTAAAAGAGTCATAATATGATTACGTGTCACAAGGTAGTTGACGGTTGTTTCTCGTATACATCGAAAAATTCACAGGACCACAACCATTATAAGAAAGTACATCCTTATTTGGACAAATAGATGACGGTACTACTCGACAGAGGATCCATGATAAAATCTAGTAATTAAAAGCTCAACTTGCTAACCAACCGCGTTCGATGCACATAATTAACACGGGAAGAACAAAGTCACGCGGTTGACTCTGCCCAAGACATGACACAGAGGATCCATGATTTAGATATTGTTCGTTAATTAATATATGTACTGATCAAGTACTATGCTATTAACTAGTGGAGTTATATGCTAATTGTAATTGAAATACCTATAAGGCTATATCTATATTGCTTCCATTAAACATTAATAAATGCAGCGATCCCATTTATCCTTTTTTCTTCTTCTTCTTATAACTAAATAGCAGATGCAATTAGATGACAATGAGATGAGTAATTAAGGTGCGGGTATCTAAATATTCATATCCGGTCCATAACAAATCGATATTTTGTTTAGACGTATAGGTAGGAACCTGTCAACACATTCGGCCGGGTATGCATTTAAAAGAGAAAACTAATCAACAAATTAATTCTTCTGGAAAAGTTTGAGAAACAACCCTTGCTTACAAAATGGAGAATATGATACGATGAAAGGAAGTAAAATTATTTGAGAAATGGAGATTCTCATAGTAGAGCTACATTAGAGCTATAACATGATATAACAAAAGTCCAATCTTAAGTAAACATGAGATGCAATTATGTACGGCAATAGGGCTAGAAAGGTTCGAGTATCTAAATACCCATATCAGCCCCATGAAAAGTCAGAGGCAACTAGTGAGATGTTTCTTTTGAAATGCAGGTAGGAGCAGGTTAATTAACCCATTCGGTCAATCTCAAAGGAAGAAAAATATCCAACAAATTAAGTGTTTATTTTTAAGCGACGAGAAATAATCCCTTGCTTTACAAAATCTACAGCATGATACATACGGTGAATAACCAAAGGTAAGATAGTCTAACGGTAAAACTGCCGCGACAGTGAAGGTTTGGGAGGTGCATATTCCAGGTTCGAATCCAAGCGAGGCCCGTTGGTGTTCCCGGAGGTACAAGGCTGCTGAGGCGAAGCCCCGTTGGCGTCGAATTTGATTGCAGGTGGCCCCCAGATTTATTAGGACCTACTGTCACAAAGTGGCACGTGGGCTGAGGTTCCTGGATAATAAAAAATACATGTGGTGAATACAAAATTATTTAAGAAATGGAGGCTCACATGACATAATGAGACTTTTATTCATTTTACCAATTTTAAAAAGAATTCCCAAAACAGTTCCACTAAAAATTTAAAAAATACACAAGTTTGGCATGGTTCGATGTACTTTCCATCTATTTTCATGCTGGTTTGCTAGAGACCACAGTGATTTCAAACAAAACGCTCCAAACATACGCGATTTACACCCAGATCGATCCAAAATAGGCGTAGATTACACAAATTGTTGCTGACTCCAAAGATCTGGCATGAAGATTATTGGACCGATTTGTGCCTTAGGTACGTTTTAAATTCAAATGACAATAGTTGTGTTCTCGGTTATCTGATCGACATGAAGTTTATTTTTTGCACAAATTTTAGAAATCTTCAAAGCCGCAAATAGTTGAATCCATGTTCGTCATGAAACATGTCGATATATTGCTGCCACAAAATGGGTCATTTTGCGATTTCGATAAAATTTGGACAGCCACATCTTTGTGCTCCACCATCTGAGCATCGCCAATTTTTATTTATTTATTTTGCATAACTTTTAAAAGAATTAATACAACTTTTACTATGGAGAAGTTTTAAAAAAGAGAACATATTTTTTTGATTTAAGAGGTTTTGAAGATTACTTTAGATTTATTTTTCATCTTTCGGCATATATTTTGAAAATACTCCTGCAACAAAAGTTCCTTCTTGTCTCCAATGAACCAACAACAAAATTGCTGGAAACTAGAACTTGTGTATTTTGAAAATTTTTAGTATCAGTATGGTTTATGAAAATGTTTTTTTTTTACAGTAATACTTGTATATTGGGAAAAAAAATCCACATGATGGTATATAACTACATTAGAGTTAAAACTTGATATAACAAAAGTCAAACTAAAAGCAATTTGAGTAAACATTATATCAAAGCTTGATTGATTAGTGGTCTATTCATGACATAAGTACTTAGTGTGCTCATAATGAGAGTGTGTAGTTAGCTAGTCTTTTCTGGAACTTAAGTTGAAAGCTCCCAAAGTGCAAATAAACAAATAAAGAATGCAACAGAATTCGTCATCCCAAGGTTGATATAGTAATTTCCCAAAGCGCTAACATTCCCAACCACAGAATTTCCATAAAATATATATATATATATATATATATACATGCATAGATCAGATTACATGTCCTTCCTTTCCTTTCCTTCCTGCTCCATCTTCATCTTCTTGCTCCCAGACCAAACCCTTGCTTTCTAGCTAGTTCTTCTTCCCCTTTTCTTTTTCATACATGTTATTGTTTTTTCTTTCCAAACAAGCTCGATCCCAGTTCTCACATATTTTGAGTTAATATATATATATATATAGTTATTATTTTAGGGGTGCGTAATTTTTTGTTTTTGGGGATGACCTAGTTTTCAGCGACTGCAGCAACACCAAAATAATTTTGCTGCTGCTGCCTCCGCAAAATTATTATTCCATTTCCCCCCTTTTAAAATAGTAAAAAAAAAAAAAATAGTAAATGGAAGAGAACAACAACCAAGGGCAGGGGCAGGGGCAAGGGCGGCATGGCGGTGGAGGTGGTGGCGGTGGGGAGACGGTACGGTCGCGGTGGACGCCGAAGCCGGAGCAGATACTGATCCTGGAGTCCATCTTCAACAGCGGGATGGTGAACCCGCCGAAAGACGAGACCGTCCGCATCCGCAAGCTCCTCGAGAAATTCGGCTCCGTCGGCGACGCCAACGTCTTCTACTGGTTCCAGAACCGCCGCTCCAGATCCCGCCGCCGCCAGCGCCAGCTCCAGGCCAGCCTCGCAGCCGCCGCTGCAGCCGCCGCCGGAGACGCTGCCCAGGGCAGCACCACCACCACCATGGGCATGGGCTTCAACATCAACATCAACAACAACAACTACCCCGCCGGCGGCGGCGGCGGCGGCGGTGCAATTCAGTTGGAGGGGTTTGTGGGGAACATGAGCCCAGCTTCTCCTTCGTCGTCGTATAACTACTTTCTCAGCCAGGGCCAGGGGGGAGCGTCGATGGATCATGAGAGCATGTATTCTTCTTCTTCTTCTTCTTCTCTCCCGAACCCGTTGGCGCTAGGCGGCGGTTTCGAGGACGCCGTGGTTCCCACCTCTGCTGGCGGCGGTGGACTGCTGATGGCCTCACCCAGCTCCGATATTATAATGTGCTCCGCCGCAGCTCCGGCGAGTTCCAGTTTCCTCTACCAAGGTACCCATTTGCTTCGCTTTCTTTTTTCCTTCACATATCTTGGGATATAGAGAGAGAGGGAGGGAGGGAGGGAGGGAGGGAGAGGGGCTCTAATTTTGTAGAGAGGATTGTTCCATGCTTTTATTACTGTTTATGTTTGTCCCTCTCCCTCCAACTCCAAAAATGGTCCCCTCCACCTATGCTTCTAGCTATGTCTTGTCTTGCAGTTCCGAGGAAAATTCTGTAAAGAGCCAATTAAGAATCTAATCTATGCAGATTCTGGAAAGGAAAGTGGGGGGGTTTTTTTTTATGATTATATTTGGGTAACAAATGAAATGAACAGGCGGAGGAGATGGAGGGCAGGCGGCGGCGGGGTTCGTGATAACGGTGTTCATAAATGGGGTGGCGACGGAGGTGCCTCGGGGGCCGGTGGACGTGAGGAGCATGTTCGGGGAGGATGTGGTGTTGTTTCATTCGTCGGGCCTCTCGCTGCCGGTTAATGAATTTGGGTTCCTCCTCCACGGCTTGCAGCACGGCGAAAGCTACTTCCTGGTAACACTTTAATTTCATCACCTCCAATCTATCTATCCTTCCTTTCCTTCTGCTTAAAATCTTGAGTAGGCTTTTTTTCCCTTCTAGCTTGAAAGTTGGTTGATTAAAGTAATGTGTTCTTGTGGCGACTGTTAGTGGCATTTGCCCAACTTCTAACAAAGAGCCAGCTTTCCGGTTAAAGTAATGTGTTCTAGTCATTATCACTCTGGATGTGTGCTTAATTGGAAGGGGAAAAAAAAGGGTCTTGCTAATTTGGTTTTCCGTTTCACCAACTCAAACTTTTACAATTATATTCCAAATTCTTTTTCCCATTATTTTAAGGTGAACTAGATGTTTATTTTCAGACATGCAGCTTCCTCTCCCCTTTTTATCTCTTTTTTTTTTTTTTTTGTTGTTGTTGTTGTTGATGTTGAGCCTAAAATCCGGACTCAAATGTGCTACGTGTGTAATCGGAAAATATTTTGCAAGGTTGCAGTAGTTAACTTTAAATTTGATCTTACATTTCATTACTGTTAGTAGTAGGATTGGACCAAAAAACTCCTTTAAGAAGAACAATTGCTTGTGGCCTGTGGGTTTTAGGAGGAGGGGCTTTTGGGTTTCCAACACATCTCTCTCTCTCTCTCTCTCTCTCTCTCTCTCTCTCTCTCCAACCAATTCTGCGGACTTTTGTAGGTGGTAATGAGATTAGTTAGAGTTTTAGAGTAAAGAAATGGGGCGGGGAACATGGTGATCATATATTTCTCGGCCTACGTTACATAGAAATTCATTTACTATCAGCATCACTTGTAAGATTCCGAGAGAGGCTATAGCTTCATTATATATAACAACTGTTTACAGTAATCATATTCCACCCTCTGGGATATTATATAGTATAACTGCGATTTCTCTCCACGGGTACTTAAGTACTCGAAATTAGCAAAAATGACTAGGATCAACACATGCATTTGCATGGCGATTCCCATTATGTTATGTTAATCAAGTTTTTCCATTTACAGGTGTCAAGACAGGCATAGAATTGGAGGGTGATGAAGATGGGGAGGAGTAGTAGAAGAAGAAGATGATCAAGTGGAGGAACAAGATAAAAGAGCTAGGCTTGAAGCTCATGGTGATAGAGTGGTAGTAATTTCGTGTTGGTTTAGAGATAGAAGCCGCAATAATCAATGATACTCTCTCTCTCTATATAGTCTCGTACCGTTTAGTTTTTTTTTTTTTTTTTTTTTTTTTTTACCTCTTTCATATTATAGTTGAGTTTGTTGTGATAATAGATGGGGGAAGCTTCCTTAAGCTCTCTTCTCTGTACAATTTTACAGAAACCGTGTTGTCCCTTGAAGACCTTTGTTTTGGCTTCATTACAGACCTGCATGTCGGCGACCGATCGATATATAAAGTGGTATTTTGAAATATATTAGTTAATAGAACCCGCTGTGTTAATGTTATTCTCACTGATATATATTATGTAATTTGTATGCAGATTCCTCTGGGTAAGAAAAAAGTGTTGAATATATATATGAGGGGAAATAGCTACGGTGCCCATATATGGTAATATATTAATAATCATGTTTTGGGTGGGGCCTAATGTGTTTTAGTGTCGGTCGAAAGATGGATTCCTATTCTCATCAGTAGATAGGGCTATCGAAATCGTATGTTCACATGCTCTATAGATAGTTAAGGGGTGACTGGAGAATGATGTTCAAAAGCAGCTCATTAAGTTGGAAATTAGAAGGGAAGGCTGTGTATTCGTGTTTCATTTTGGATAAAATACGAGTTCTCCGATGAACTTGGTTGATTCATTGTTTCTGGTTTACTCTGTCAACTTTACGTACGTGCAATGCAACCATGGAGAGATATATAGTGTGTTAGGTATATCCTAATAACTAGGCTGTTAGCTAGTTTGATTCTGGTTTTTCTTTTTGTTTTTATCCGAAACCAAATCGGTAATAATGTTAATGATTTTGGATTTGGTTTTAAAATTGTGTAGCATCTCGATGGTTTTGATTTTGGTTAAAACAGAAAAAAATGAATAAGGAATCGAGAGCGCAGTCTAGTTAAGTCAATACTGGTCAATAATGATTTGGTTAACCAAATCAAACTAACATCCCTACTAGATAATAACTCAAGTTATTGTAACAATTTGATTATCAATGAGGATCAAGTACGCGACTTACATCCATCTCTTTTCGCCAATTTAGATTATTATTTGTTGTTCTTTTCAAAAGGACTTGTAATGGATGTAAGAAAACCACAGTTTGTGGCTAGCTCCTTTCAGCAAGTATCAATTAATTCTTCCGGTTTGGCGGTTGTGTGTAGGGCTGTTAATGAACCAAATTGCTCATGAACGGCTCGGTGTCCGACTCGAGAAAAACTCGTTCGACACTCGATTCGTTTAATCGAGCCGGCTCGCGAACAAGCTCGTTAACTAAACGAGCCGAACTCGAGCCATATACCATGTTCAGCTCGAAAGCTCGCGAACAAGCTCATTTAATGGTTTGACATAAAAAAAAATTAGAATTCATGTACTTTATGAATTGAAATTGGGGTAAATATTGTGTTTTACTTTGTTAAACTTTGCTACAGGTTAATGTAATTTTGTGCTTAAAGTCAATCTTGAGCTATCATGAATATTTTATGAGCTGAACTCGATCTTGGACTCGTTAAACTTATTTGACGAGCCGAGCTCGAGTCGAGCTTTCAATTTCATAAACGAGCCGAGCTCGAGCTTGAATATTAAAGCTCGTGGCGAACATGAGCCAAGCTCGAGTTTGGAAATATATTAATGAGCCGAGCCCAAACTATGGCAAAGTTCGGCTCGATTCGGCTCATTAACAGCCCTAGTTGTGTGTAAATAAGTAAATAAAAATGTGCATGACCTACTATTAGAACTTGAACATAACAGTGTGTTCTAAATCAACTGATTTCAATAATTCGAGTTATTTGTAAAAGTCCGTATACCAGAACCAACTCTAATATCAAATCATATATCATTTGATATCAAACACTCGAGTTATTTGAAGAAGACAATGATAGAATCGTAAGTGGTAGCGACAGCGGATCTAGCAATGCCATCGGAGACTTCTACGAAAGTGGTGCCGGTGGCTACGACTACGAGGACCTTTCTTTAGCTCGGGAACGACTGCTTTGGCGCTGCTTCCATTTTCTAATATCGCTCCTTCAATATAAATTTGTTCAACTTAATTAACTTGGCCACCTGGTCGGCCGCCATGAGTACTTGTATGATCAATACTAATTCTAAACTGAAACGGTAATCAGCGGGGCCAAGGCGGCGGGGCGCCGTCAAGCAGCCAGCGCTAGCTGCAGTGTAGCATCATTATATATAAATTAACCATTGCATTCCACCACTTTAGATGATAATTTAGCCGCTCGTGGATCATCAAAGCCACTGGCGGAGCTAGGTGAGGGGTTGTGGGGCCCACTTGGAAAATGAATATACATTAGAAATGACCCCACTTGAAAAAACCAGGAGAGACGGTAAAAACCAAACGGGGAGAGTAATTACAACAGGCCTTGTGAAAAAAATTATCTACAGGCAAACCTAAAATTGATTAAGCCCATCATGCAGTCACTTAAAAAAGCCCAAAATTAGTCTCAGTTTGAAAGTTAATATCACACAAAACTGCTTTTAATGTTAGTGGACAGTAACCAGTATTATGGTTAATATATATTAATTAATAATATACATGCTTTAAGATTTCGACGATCATTTATGTAGTAATGTGGTTGAGGTATTTCTAGAACCAATCATTGAATATATAGTGCAATAATAATATATATGCTTTTAATTTTGTAAGGGTAAATGCCACATTTGGTCACTGGGATTACTAAATCGTGTTATGTTTGGTCTCTAGAAAAGATTAATATCAATTTTGGTCACTCCAATTTCTATAACAGATCATAGGTAAAAAAGAGGTTAACCAAATATGGTATTTACCAAATTTTGTAAATAGGTAAAAAAGAGGTTGACTAACTGATCCGACATTTGCCCATGTACCAAGTAATTGGGCCGTGTTTGGCCTCGCAAATCATGGGCCCATCTTGGGGTGTCCCCCTTGTTTTTTTCATGTTGTGTTTGACATGACACTGGCTAATCACTGTATCACTGGCTAATCACTGTATCCTGTTACATCATTTGAAGTCTTAACTTCGTTTTTGCTCGTCATCTATATTCGTGGGAATTCGCTCAGTAACTCATCATTAGAAGGTGCAACGGTTTGATTCAAATTGGATCAAATTAATAAAAAAATATAGCAAAATAGCGAAAGACATTTTAGTGTCTAGTATTGGACCATTATTGTATTCGGTTCAATTTGATCAGATCCAAATGTTAATTCGGTTAATTTTTTTAGTTTTATAAAATTATGTGATTAAAGATCAGATAATATTATATTAAGTTCGAAATGGTCGAGTCTAAACTTTTGTTTTATCTGCTCCAATCCAATACAGACCAAGGAGTTGCACACCCCTTGACTATTCATAACTTTTTTCACAAATTAAACATATCGATCTATATCTCATTCGTTGGAATTCCAAAAAAGTTGCACGTAAAATTTAACATATGCTTACGTCCCATAATTTTCTTTCTTAGTTCTTTTTTTAATTTAAATTTAATGTATTATTATTAAATTTTCAAAATAAACTTTATAAGATACTCATATATGTTATATTTGTCTAGATGCGGTCCACTATTGTGTTGACGAGTAGGAGTTGCCAAATAACTTGAGTCGTTGGAAAAAGATTAATAAATCACCACATATTAACGAGCTTGTTCAAACAAGAGCCACTCCAATGGGTTTGGAGTTTGCACAGGTTCGAAATACCATGTACTTAATAAATTGGATCATCGGGGTTTGAACAAAATACCTCTCGGTCACAGAAGGATTTGATTCTGTCTAAACCGAGTAGCTCCATTAATACAAGGATCATTTCTCATATATTCCCAATTTAGTAACTAGATTGTCCCATACAAGAACTAATTGTCCCAATTACTTGAGTTATTT